CTTCATTCATTCAGTCATTTTCTTTTATACACTTTTGTAATAAAACATTAATCCCATATTCTTGGTAAACTCTAGAATGCGACAGTATTTTTGACCACGCCGTCGCATCGGTATCAAGTTCAAAGTGAATTTATGTAAGTTAATAAGGTCGATATTACATTGCAGGTGAAGCTGACTGGCCACTACCTTCCCGTTGTAAAATATACGAACAGGTACACCATACATTGAAGATTTGTTGGCACGAAACACGAACCTATGCACTGCAGTAGCGGAAACAATGTAGGAATTTGATTTTTCTTTTGGCGACCTTTTCTGGCATTGATGGACAGTGGAATTATATTAAAGGAAGACTTTGGAAATGAATTATTTGGTATTTTGTGAAGGAATTATGTCAGAATGAAAATATTGTAATAGTATACAGTATCTATTCACGTAGTAGAAAGAAATCTTGATGCAAAATGTGCTGTAAGAACCTGCGCGCTGTCGTAAGATCTTTGTAAAGCTGCTTTTATACCAGTCACAAAACCTTTGAACAAATTCATTTTCTTTGATAATTTGATTAGGTAATCTTGTTTAATGATAATAAAATAGTTCTTTTATGTCCATATCTCTAAGGCTAGACATTTAAATATTGCGTTTACAACGAGCACCCTATTATCAGTTACGTATCTCCCATAGATTTAGAAGTAAAATATCTACAGTGGGCAGTTACAAGGAGGAATGTAGGAAATATAGGGCGTCAGCAGGTAATGCGGTGAATTGAAGATTTGTTGGCACAAGGCACGAACCAGTGCACCAATGCAGAGGGGCGGTATAGCAGATAGGAAAAGCGAGATCGAGGCTACTGAACGATTTTGGACTCTAAGGTTACTTGAGAATAGTGTTGCAATTAATTATCAGAACCAAAAAAGCTGATGTTTTAATACATAGAAGTTTGACTGCAGTTGTTGCAGTTTAACCAGTGCAGAACAGACTGACCGGGAGGTTTTGGCGTCGGCCTTCGAATAGGTCCTTAGGATTCCCATAATCACTTATTTTATAGCTAGAATACTAAAAGTTTTTTTTCATGGTATAAGCCGGTAAACGAGCCGACGAATCACCTGATGGTAAGCAATCGGCGTCGCCCATTGACACCTGGAACACCAGAGGCGTTACAAGTGCGTCACCGGCTTTTTGGGGATTAGGAGTTTGAGGATCGTTGGGGATTCAGGGATCGGGGAGATTGGGAAAGGGGAAGGTAATTGGGCCTCCGGTAACCTCACTCACACGACGAAACACAACGCAAGCATTGCTTCACGTCGGTTTTCTGTGAGGCCGTGGTATCAGTCCGGTCGAGCCGGCCCATTCGTGCCGAAGCATGGCCCTCCCACACGTACACATCCAAGAACCACACCAATTCCATCCCAGTACCTATATTTACAAACCACTAAGAAACAGACATTTCTGACTTAAGACGGTAACTAAGCGTTCCCGTCTCTTCCTGATATTAGGACGACGCAGATATTTGCTATCCCCTTGTCGCGAAAGCTAAGCGCTATCGATAAGACATACAGATTGAGAGATTAAATGTATACGACGCAAACGAAACGGAACGAAGAGATAGGTAAGAGAAATGATTCGAGATTTACTGTGAAACATGCGTTTAAAAAGTTTTATTAAAAATTGCTTGTGTGTGTTGTGTTGTGTGTTACCCTCCCGATAACTTGAAGGTAAACCCCTGAATGTTTGCACGTATTGTTTGAAGTGTTTCGATTACTTTTAACTACAGTGGGACTAATGCAAATTACCGATGATTGAATCTCCGAATATGTGGTGCTAAAAATGCTATGCTACTTTTTCTTATGAATCCAATGTGGTTGGGAAGTGCAAACTTGACGCTGTCTATGGGCTATGTCATGGCATACGCTGAGTATCCAGTATAAAGACCGAAGTCAAGTCCTCATGCTTCTTTATAGTAGGTGTCTTTATAATAGCATGTTCAAAATATTGACCCAATTTTTACCCAAGAATTACTTTGAACTTTCCTGCACGAATACTGAAAGGCTATCGCCTAAATACCCATAGTCTTTTCACTACAAATTCTTTGTATAATGACAGAATTGACACGATATTTAAGCACAACTTTAAATAGAGTAGCCTTTCAGTATTCGGACGTCAATGATCTTATACCTGTGTTTTTATAATTACTATCGTGAGACATACTAAATTGAGTAAAATCGCGGGTTTCTCACGTAAATATACTGAGAAAAGCTCTACTGGTTTCGAACCACAGAGGGGTTCTTCCTCATGAGCTGCGCGACGCCGCCGCGACCGCGCACGCTGACGTGTACGTGAGTAACCCGCGATTTTACTTGATCTTATACCTACTAATAATAAATCTGAACTCTTAACTTACTCATCAACAATAAGAAACTTATCTCCTTCCGAAGATAGGCACCGTCCTTTGTTAGACAGTCTGTCTCCTTCGATGAGGATCGGCTGGATCACGCCCGATTGGAACCAGCGGCCGTGCCACCGGGACGGGAATGCACAACCTGGGAACAAATAAGGAATATGATATAGAAAATTTGGTAAAGTAACATCTTGTCTTTTTAAACGGGTATTATTTTCTTGTCCCGACGAGTATGGAGAGATTAATTTGATTGTGCGGTAAATGCAGTGACTATACGTATCTTGAGTAACTGGCTGGTCTGCATCGTGTCACATTCCCGCAAGATGTATGAAATGTGTAAACCCCACTGTTATTTATGGCTCAACTCATATACCCAAGGGAAAAAGCCTCAAACCAAGTTCAGAGAACAATTTAAGAACCCGTTCTTTTAAAAAATCTTTATAAACATTTTGAAATGAAATCGAAGTCATTCGAAGAACCATTTTTTCTAATGGAACAAAAACACGAATAAACTTCCACTAAATACTAGTACAATTGAGGTCAGTATCTAAAAGCATTTGATTACTATCTATTATCTAACACAAAAGCCATAACGCGATGACATCTATAGGTAAACGGCACACATGCTAACCGTAGCCTACCGGTAAGGCCCGAAGTACCGAAGCATTTTACCTAAGTAATTAAAAACTGTAATATTCATCACAACATGGTATCTACAATATGAAAACGGCTTTGTATGTATGTATTGACTGTCTATCGGAATGTTTGTATTCTTGTAGCGTTTTTGTGACTAAAGCACTGTACTGATACCGATAAATTTTGGCATAGGCATAGGTAAAACTTTAAAGAAGATTTATTAAATTATTAAATACTCTTTTATTATCACCTCTACTTTTCTCCGAATAAGGAACTACACGTTTGATAGATTGGGCAACAGCGTTCTTTCTTAAAATTGAACCTTTTACACTGCGGTCTACATCGGGCCAAGCATGGAGGTTATAGCAAACTATAGAGGGACAAGACACATGTAGAGGATGTCCCAAAATCAGCAGTAGGTTCACACTGGCTGTTTATATCTTAACAGAAAATATATTTAATTGATTGTCATAGTACAAAACAATCTAAAGTAAAAAAAAAACTAATGTTTATATTCCTTTTTCTGGTCAGGTCTGCAGGACTAAATCCCTTAAGTGATATGCAGTACCTGTATACCTCATGCTTGTGATGTGTTGTCCTCTGTAATATTATCTGCTGTATGTATGGTGTACATGAAATGATAAATAAATAAATAAACTAAAGTCAAGGGAAATACAGTGTGCTTTATTAAAAGGCCTTCTGTACGACAGTTGACGATTGCTAATGAGTTTGCGTTTATTAAGGTCGTTGTCATTAATAACGATTGATTACTTTCACCCCCCTTCCCCCCGTAGTTTGATGGCACGATTATGTAGAAAGAGATAGAGAGTGACTGTTTGACGGGGCACTTTATATCTAGTTGTTAGGTAATGTTGAAATTCCTGTGTAAAAGTGCTTTTTGTAAGAGGTTAATGATGAGTTGGACATTCGTTTCGCTGATGGTGTATGTAGAAGTTTACTAATAGCAATAATATACATAACATCATGTTTTTATAATAAATATCGTGAGATATACTAAATTAACTAAAAATCGCGGGTTACTCATGTGAATATACTGAGAAAAGCTGTACTAGTTTCGATCCACAGAGGGGTTCTTACTCATGAGCAGCGCGCGCGGTCGCGTAGTAGAGCTTTTCTCAATATATTCACGTGAGTAACCCGCGATTTTTAGTTAATAACATCACGTGTTTTATGTCCAAACGTATTACTAAGAAAATTCTTGAAAAAACGAAAACTTTCGTTGAGCTGTTCTTGATTTGAGGAACGAATCCAACACCCATTGCTTGGTAGTCGCGCGTGTAGCTATTTGACTAAGGAAGTAGTTGGCCACTCAAGTTTTAGTTGAACTAGAGACGAAAATTTTGGACGATTTGTTAAAATTTCCTATTCTGAAACAAACACCAAAAGCTAGTTATTTAAAATCGATACAGATACAAGAACTTATGACCATTTTACTTGAAGTTAGTTCAATAGCTTTGCAATATTTTATAATGTGATTTAAATCTGCTGCTTCAGAAGTTGTGATAGAAATTAGCTTGGAAAGTTAGCTATTATGTATTCCTTGTTCGTACTTTTATAAAGCAAACAGCTTACCGTTTTTTAGTGTTTTACTATTGTTTTATTAAAAGAAATAAAGAAATAAAAATTTTTAACCTGATTTTTGAGTCTTGTAATTTCCTGGCAAATTGCCTTTTAAACTGTCAAACACCAAGCGGTCACCGGTGACCGCAACCTATTGTTCTATAATTGTGTCTATAATGACGGTACTCGACGAGTTAAATCTGAAATTACATAATGTCTAGTATTCAGTTCTTGTCTGACTGATCACATTTTCACGGGATGAACCTCAAAGAAGTTGGCGAAACATCTGATGGTAAATATGATCAATGCCGCGTTCATTTACAATACTAGACTATTTACTAGTGCATTGTCAGTCTTTTGACGTTTGGCCTGCCGTAATCACACTCACATGGCAAGAAACGACGCAAACGGGTTTCTATGAGGCACTAGTATCACTTTAACAAGAACCACCCTCCTAGCATCCACCTCCTTACTAACTACAATATCAATAAACAGAAATGCACCAACCATTTTCCAATTTCCTTAAGCCGATCACAATATAAACTCATATGGAAGGAGCACAATGTAACATCAATATTGTAAGTGCATCCTAACAATTGCTCTCTCATTGAATCCGGAGACGTTCACACGAGCCATTGTATTCTAATCTGTAGATTATTGTGTTCATTACTGGTGTAATGTCGTCACAATGGGCCTTAACAAGTTGCTCGTTTGTCGTACGCGGCTTATGGTAATCGTGTGGCTTTAAATATGCCAGTGGTGCCTAAAGTTTTCTGGACTGAACCCTATCTGTCTTGGGTCTTGTTGTAAATTGATTAGATTAGATTGGGTTTAGGTCCTTTTTCATCGTGTAATGATTTAATGTAGTCGCTTTTCAGTCAATGTATGTCTGGGTGTATGTCTATGTATTTTTGGACAGTATTTTTTTCCGAATTTAACATTCAGTATTAAAATTTATCTACATATCGTAGTTTAGTATCAGTCATTGACTGCAAACATGAAAACTCTATATCTTGTTTTAATTTTACCTTCAACTTTAATATAGGTACTTTTTTATTGTAATATTTCTTAAAATTGCTCGATGATTGGTAAAAAAAATTTGTAATTTCAATTAGATAAACTCGGTGTTTATACTTTGAGAACTGTTGATGTAAAGTATGCAGGATGGGACTTTGATGGTCTTTTGAGTTCTTTTAAAAGCTGCTTAATAGGCTATAGTAACACTTTTTATTGTGTGATTGCTAAGCCTGTAGAGGTGGGTAATTTAATGTGTACTGTGTAGTATAATCAATGATATATCATTTTTACTTATACAATGCTGCTATTTTAAGAAAAGGCTTCTGACAAGCAGTACTATTAGTGGTTCACACACCATAATGAATCGCTGAATAAAGCTTTTCATGAGCGACAAGACCAACAAAATTATCAACATATCGTAGCAAAAGTGATGAAAAAATAACATGTTAGATATATTGAATTACATCAGATTAATTGAGAAATAGCTAATTCAAAAGATAATACAACATTAAAACACCCTTTCACATTTGCATACGACGCACGCTATCTAGATCAACGAGCCCGATGTCACGCTTACTTAATTACAGAATTATGCTAATAAATCAAAAGCAGAATGCCCCTTAACCGAAATTAAGTAATTAACTTTACTCGACAAAATTCGAAATACCTCGCGAATGTTTGCGCGGGCTGACGTCGAGAGGGCTTTTCAAAATGGTTGGGTTGCATTTAAGGAGCATACGATCGCGTTTGTAAACACCATTCGAGCGATATTGCTGTACTTTACAATATAACAGTTAGCGAGAATTATGGTGTAGTTAAATGTTGTGATTTTGTGGGAGTGGTGCAATATGTTTCGGGGATGAAAGTGGGTTGGAGAAAAATTTTATTTTTGCTATCAGTTTTATGATGTAGGCATATGGTTGTTATTCCATTAACATAAAAATACCGTGCCTGTTTATTATTGGAGTAGTCCAATAATAATCGGTTCATGGGTCAGGAGAAATATACGAGCCAATAAGAGGGGTTTTCCATAATTTCCGCACTTGGTAAGGGGGGTCAGAAGTTGCAATTTAAAAAGTTCAGGTTAACGATAAAACGCTGCAGCCCAGTCTATGTCAAACGTGTGTGTAATGTGTAAAGGTAGGTACTCATTGATCAAGATCTGTCTGTGACAAGAACGTATGTCAGATGAAGTTTTGACAGTGACAGTGATGTCTATTGTCAAGCAAAACAGTTTCTAGAAGTGTTGATATGAATCTGAAACGGTGAACATTGTAATAATAATTGATATGTTATACCTAATATTTTAGTTAGATTAGAATTCTTTGTCGGTTACGTAAGTGAGAGGTCTCGGGGGCTATTATATTATATTTATAATAATACTTCCTTAATAAGTCACTTGATTTAACTGTGTACCTAAGCTTAGTTAATTAGTGCTTGCTTATATTATGATAAAGTTTCTAATGGACTTCGACATGCATCAGATGTAATCTTGGTCACGTAATGTGATTTTATACCATTATAATCTACCTATAAAATATTTTAAAATAATATTTAAACGGAATGTTTGTTTGTTTAAAATTTTCTTTTTAACAAATTGCTGGCCATTATTCGTAGACGCATCTGTTGTGAATATAAATGTCGATATGTTCAAATAGAGAACAATACAAAGTCGTAAAGGTCATGATACATTAGAGGTATAGACGCCAATATACCTATCCATTCTTATTTAAACTTCAAAGTGGAAAATCATCATGTAGCCTCTTGCTTGGGAAGATGAAAAAACTGACTGTCGGACTGACTAACACGTGGGACCCTAAAGTTAGAGCTAGAATTAGAACATTTAGAACTCAATAGTATAAAATAGACACACTAGCAACAATATATTACTTAAAAAACCATGAAAAC